ATTCTTTGGGTCTAAAGTAAAATGGGGGGCCTTTCCTGTCACCTGGTGCAAGCCACACGGGTCCCGAGAGGAGATCAAGCCAAGTTTGTGCTTCCCATGAGTCAGGAGCAGCTATGCTGGGCCTGGGAGGAGTAACACGAAGCACAAGACCACAATTCACTCTTCTTGTGAGCCAACTGGAATGGGCCAGGAGCCAAGAACACCCCCCACCACGAGCAACCGGCTGGTTCGGAGGACAGGCTGAGTTGATGGCATCTGAGGTATCAAAACAACTTAACGCTGAACGCTTTATTGACTTTGCAGGCCTATGGCCGGTCATCCGAGCATCTATTAAGAGGACAGCAATATGCAGTATAGCAAATATGGGAACTTCCTTCTGTCTTGTTTTTGAAATCCAATATTGTTCTCAATGTTTTGTTCCACTTTATTGATTTATTTTATTTGCTACTCTGTTTTGGTTTTATTTTGTACTGTTTTGTTTGAGTTTATTATGTTTGATGGTATGGGCAGCAATTTTGAAGCTAACAAGAGGTGTTATGAGGGGCTGGAGATTTAGCTCAGTGGCATAAGCGCCTGCCTTGCAAGCGTGTGGTCATGAGTTCGATCCCTGGTATGAAAAAAAAAAAAGGCATTATGGTAGTCATTCTTGATTTCCTATTGTCCTGTTTGGAAATCTTGTATCATGTTTACTTGTTGTTTTGATTGACTTTATTCTATTCTGTTTGGTTTTATTCTTTTTAAAATATGCCTTCATTCTTTTGTTTTGATTGGTTTATTCTGTTTTGCTTTGTTTGATTTTATTATGCCTGATGTACGTAAGGACAGCTTTTTTTGAGGGGGGGGGGTACTGGGAATAGAACTCATGACCTTGCACTTGCCAAGCAGGCACTTAGGCCACTGAGCTAAGCCCCAACCCTGAACATCTATTTTGAAGACAAGAGCTATTATGGTAGCCATTGACTTCCTGTTATCTTGTTTTGAAGTCCTACATTGCTTTTATTGTTCTATTCTGATTGGCCTTATTCTGTTTTGTAAAAGTAAAATGAGGGATACCAAAGAAGACCAAGAAAACTCTTGTGCAAGTAGGACAATTTGTGGAAGGGGGAGAAGAGAAAGAGTCACTCTAGGTGAAATTTGCAGAAACCAAAGAGATTTCAAGCAAACTGAAAAGAGAGACTACACTTTGTTTGTATTTTGTGGCTGTGGATTATGGCTTTTTATTTTTGAGACAGGGTCTTGATCTGTAGTTCAGATTGGCCTTGAACTCACAGTGACCCTCCTGCCTCATCCTCCTGAGTGCTGAATTACTTTAATTCTTAAACAGTTGGGGTATAACAAATCGAGTGCAAGAGGAAAAACTGTCATGAGAGAAGATGTCTAAGTAACATTGAGTTTTACACAGATTACAATAAGGTCAATAATAAAATATTACCCAAAGAGGCTCTGTGTAAGTTCAGAGATATTAACAATTTGGGTAAAATAAGTAAGGAAACATTGACTAGTTCACAAGCATACTGGTACTAACTCACACGACTATGTTCAAGGAGTCTTAAAGTCAGTGGAGAATTATTGAGTATGACACAAAGATCTGCAAATAATAAATCATTTATTAGGGGCTGGGGATTTAGCTCAGTGGCATAAGTGTCTGCCTTGTAAGTATGTGGTCATGAGTTTGATCCCCGCTACTGATAAAAAAAAATCATTTATTTGTAGGAAAACAGATATTTTCAGAATTCCTGGGGTCCCTGACAAATGATTTGCTACCATGGGTTTTAAATATTCTTTCTGAAATATGGTTATCATTGTCAATTACATTGTGCCAAGGTAAACAGGGCTTGTTAAGTCTAATATCTTTTAAAATACATTCTCAGAAGAAACTATTATCTTCACTGTAAGAAGCAGTTTTCTTTTTTTCAAAGCATAGTTTCAGGATACTTAATAAAAATATAAATGTTTTGATGTGAGAAAGTGAGATGCGTAGTAGTAAGTGAAAAGGAAGTATTGTTTCAGTAACAATCTATTCATTTAACTACAGAAAAATTCATCAGTCCTCAAGAGTGTCTGTCCAAAGTAGTCAGCCCTACTTATAAAAAAGAGCTTAAAAATATAGGCAGAGACTGTGCTAAAGCAGAGGGTAAAAAGAGAAAAGGGCAAAGGGAAGGGGAGCAAATGAGGAGTTACAAGTCCTGTAAAGATGCAACTAAGACGGGGCTGGGGATTTAGCTCAGCGGCATAAGCACCTGTCTTGCAAGCAGGCAGTCATGAGTTCGATCCCCAGTACCAGAAAAAAGAAAAAGGAAAAAAAAAAAAAAAAGATGCAACTAAGACACAACTAAGAATGAGGAAATTAAATTAACAGTAACCTGCAAAAATTGGTAAAATTCATTCCAAGGCTATTTACGGGGATGTTTTCCTCTTTACCTCTCAGGTTCATTCCCAAGGATTCCCTGGCATCAGTGTTTGCTGACATTTACAGAGAGTCCTTGGAAGCTGGGCCTGCTGAGTATACGCCTGTAATCCCAACACTCTGGGAGGCTGAGGCAGGAGAGTCACAAGTTCAAGTCCAGCTTGAGCAATTTACCAATGAGCCAAATCTTGTCTAAGAATTAAAAAAGGACTGGGATATAGTTCAGTATTTGGCCTGAGTTCAATTCCCAATCCCAAGAACTATAAGAGGAAACAAAAAAGATCTCTTGTGAATAACATAAGAATCCACAAATGTGACTACATCAAATTACAAAGCTTCTGCAAAGCAAAGGAAACCACAGAGCAAAGAAACTAAAGAGAAGAAAATCTGTGATAGCTACTTCTGAAAGAAGATTAAATTCTAAAATATACCCAAAAAATCCTCAAAAATTGAACCCCCATAAAACAATAAACAAAGTTGGCCAATAAACCAAGTAAGACACTTCTCTAGACGAGTTCAAAGGCCCACATATTCAATATCTCCAGCCAACAGTAAAGTGCAAAGTAAAACTACATGGCGATTCTCTCTCACTCCAGGAGGAATGGAGGTGAAGGAGGGGTGGGGTGCAAGCCTCCTCCATCGCTGGTGGGAACACACTCAAGTGCTATGGAAACCAGCAGGCAGATTCCTCAAAAAATAAACACAGAAGCACCACGAGAAATACCACTCAGGCCGACATGCCTCAAAGAACTAAGACGGTATTCTACATGACAACACGTACACCCATGCTGATTTCACATAGCTAAGCTGGGGGAAAGTCTAGATGCCACCAACAGACGAATGGATAAAAGAAAATGTGGTACTCACACATACAAATGGAACATGACTCAGCTTGAGTAAGGCAAGGTCATTTGTGGTAACATGGATGGGACTAAAAACTGTCATGTCCAGTGAAAGTAGCTAGACTCAGAAAGACAGTATGTTTTCTTTTCATGAGAAACCTAAGCATAAATAAATAAGTTAATTAAAAAATACAGGTGAAGGGGCTGGGGATTTAGCTCAGCGGCATAAGCGCCTGCCTTGCAAGCAGGCAGTCGTGAGTTCGATCCCTGGTACCGATAAAAATGAAAAAGACAAAAAAAAAAAAAATCTTATAAAAAATACAGGTGAGATGAAGGAAACCAGGATGCAGACTTCTGGAGACAGGGAAGGGGGCAGTGAGAAGAGAAAAAAAAGGGGGGCGGGACAACAGGACTGAACTGAAGGTACGTTAGCTGCACGTGCTGCCTCCCCCAGACAGACCCCACTATCACCTCCTATTAACACGAGCTGGCTTAAAACAGCTCCTTGTGAACTGGCTGCAAGAAGTTCCCATGTGAGAAGGTGCTTCTTCCTGCTTAGGAGTGCTCAACCGTACAAACCATCTCAGTATGAGACACCCAGCCACATCTGCACACCTGTGCTCACTGTCCAGGTCACTGCTGAAACACAGTTGCTCAGACTCACAAAGTCTGAAGACTCTGACTCTCCGTACATCGACCCGAGGCTCTGATTAGGGAGCCTGGCATAACAGTGCCCTGAGTTCCACAACACTTTCTTGGTTTGAAACATAGCCTTCTTTTTGATCTCACAAATGAAATACATTAAATAATGATTATTAAGGGAATTGTGATCACTGGAACATCAATTAGCGTTTTGCAAGGCTCTCATGAAATTATGTAATTTCATTAGCTCTTGGTACACTGAAGCAGGTATCAATTATATACCCTCACTTGGTATTTTAATACCAAAGTGATACTTCACAGTAAAAACGTATTTGTTCATAATTCTTTTACAACTGGATGCTTAAAAAGAGAATGATTAAATCAAATCTTAAAAGCAAAGATAACCACTCACATTTTTAAGGCAAATATGAAATTTAGATTTTTCTCTATAATCAAGACAATTATATTTTTGAAAAAAGTCTTTTGCTGCTATATTTTCATAATAAAAAATTAACTTAATTCCTCAGTCTGAACAGCTATATTATTTCTAATATAGTACAGTCAGCTTCATGAATATATCCTCTATGAGACGTAGATATTCAAATATCACATTACATTTTAGATATTCTAGGCTCAAACATAGGAGAGAAGATATTTTTAAAGAAGTAATAAGGATTTTTATTCTACATCCTGCATAAAACAGCTGCGTTCTAATGTTTCCATGTGTACTAGTGGTATACTCGGAGCCATGCTCTGGTGTATAAGGAAGCAGCTTAAAGAAAACAGTACTGATATTACAGACAAGTACAATAATTACTTCTTGTTAAAAATAGAACTTTGATTAAAATCAAGTTTTCAAATTATGCTGTAACTTATTTTGTTTTATTGTTTGCCTGCTAGTAGCTATCCACTAATGACTACACAGAATAGACTGCATTTCTATCCATAGGGAACCCACTTCTTACAAAACTTTATCCTTAAACTAAAATTTTAGCCATGCTGGAGCAGAAAAGATTTTCTAATGTTTCTTTCTGACAGAAGCTCCTAACATGTAGTTGAGCTGACATTTTGAAAATTAACACATAGCAGTTTTGGCCAATATGAGATACCTGTTCCCTTATTTCTTTCATTTTTTCTAGCCTCTTGAGTTTTGTGACATATTCTTGAACTTCTTTTAATCCAATGTCTGTGCAGAGACGAACCAGGAAGCGCAGACCTAGATTGTGAAAGAATATATTTAGGAAAGAAGCATGCAGAGTGGTGAAAATCCACCAATCAATGACTCAGCCTTTCAGGACACAAGTAGGAGTGAGACCTAGAAATGACATCTCTTTTCTTTCTTGAAAGACAATTGGGGGGCTGGGGATTTAGCTCAGCGGCATAAGCGCCTGCCTTGCAAGCACGTGGTCATGAGTTCAATCCCTGGTACCGATTTAAAAAAAAAAAAAGACAATTGTACTCTGCAGTCCCTGGACCACCTGGACCAACCCTGTCTACCTGACTGGTCCTTGGGGTACCACACCCCAGGGGGGCGCAGCACAAGGACACTGCTTGGTGAGAATGCCAAAGGCAGGTGTGACACTTGTCACTATGCCAATTCATACAAATATGTGAAGAGCTCCATGGCAGTTCTGGGCTCCAGAATGCAGACAATCTCAACATGCAGTAATAATTGCCAAAAAGGGTTTTATTGTGAGTAAAAGCATGCATGCATTCATTCATCTAGTTTTGCAGTGCTGGGGATGGATCCCAGGGCATACGAGGCAGGTGCTCTACCACTAAGCTACACCTCCAGCTTAACTTTGACAATTTCACGGACGGTGGTTTTGCTCCTGAAATCTGTCCCCTGCCCACCTTCTGGGCACCCACTGTCTTCTGTCCCTGACCCCACCCCTATCTCGCCTACCCTACCTCCCATCAGACCACTTTGTGAAGGGTCTTCGGAGGTCGCCTTTACAAGCTTCTGTCGCTCTACCTGTGCACAGTTTAAAGCTGGTCTGCGTCTCCTCAGCCCTTGTCACATTCCTGTCGATGCACTATTGCAACTTCACTAAAATAAAATAGATCAGATCTCCACCTGACACCCACGGTACCTTGAAGAAAACCTACCCCACGCCAACATCACAATTCCCCCCTAGATCTCCTTTCTTCCCATATTCGCTCTCATTTCACCCCTCGCTATCTGCACAGTCTTTTCTTTCCTCTGCTTCGCAGTAACTGTTTTGACTCTGTTACACATCTTGAGCACATCCAGAGAGGCCCCTCACATTGTCTCCATGCTGCACGGCAGGTGGGAGCTGGGGCCTGGACACCCTCACCCAGCTCTTAGTCCCTGTCCCCCCATGGCCCCAAGGCCTGTGATTTTCTGGCGCTGAGTCATGAATTGCTTTGCTTCTTACCACATCATCACTACCTTATGTGCCCCTGAAGTTTCTTCTCTTTATTAGTGGAAACTTCCCCTGTATTTCCCAAAATTTAATTATCTCTTTGTCCTTGGTAGGTTTACAATTTTTAGAAAAACACCTTTGTTTTTGTATGTAGTATAGCAAAATACATGTTCCATCTGCTACATTTTCGAAATAGACTGATTTTAAAATAGGTTGCACATCCTTGCGTCTCCTTGCTGCTCCTAATGCTGCTTGCCTACCTGGAAGCCTGCTGCTGCATCTGAAAGTGAGAAACTGGTCATGCAATCAGTCATCCCCTAGTCCTGGCACCGTTAGGAGCTCTGTACTTCCAAGCACTTTGCCCATTTTGCAATTATATCATTTACTACATCCTATTACTTAAATGATTATTAGTGAGCCCTAGGGAACAGAAACCAAGACTTAACGCTCACTGTTGTACTACCAGCACATATGATAGAGCTGATAAAAATGTGGGGAGCAAATGAATGAATAAAAAGCAGGCAGTGTTAAAGCTAACAATCAAGTTTTTTTTTTTTAAAAAGATATTGTTGCTATTGTAATAAAAGAATACAAAAATATATTGAAATAAATCCTTACGTGGATGCTGTAGAACTTTTGGGGAGCAGATGGGGAAGGGACCAGGACCCTAATTAAACACACTAGGCAACACTCTGCCACTGAGCTCTGCCCAGAGCAGCCTTCAGTGCACACTAAGGGGCCTCCTGAATCCCTAAGGGCAGATCAAGCACAGTATATCTGCAAGGGGCTTTTGCTCTTTCCCTCAACATGAGTTCCTTCCCCACTTTCCCACATTTTGGAAATTAGTGGCTCTGCCCTCCCAGCTCTCCACACTAGGTCACTGGTGCCATCCTTGACATGTCCCCCATCCTACACTCCAAAGGACCAGCAAGTTGTCATCAGTTTCTTGCAAACAAATTCTCAGCCTGCTCTGCTCTTTCTCCACCTCTGCTACTAGTGCTTGAGGTCAGACTGATTCTGTGCTTTCTCTCTCATGGAGATGATGCCTCCCCAGCTGATGCCCCAGATACCCTCGCGTGACATCCACTGCCCAAGTCTGAGCCACTCTTGCCACAGATGCTCTGCCAGGTCAGACTACTGTTTTGCTCAATGTTCTCCGCGAGGGACTGTCTCCTAGAATACATCCCAGAGTCCTCATCTGAGGCTGGGGAGGAGCTCAGGCCCTGCCTCTCCAGCTACCCTCCCCTCGGACTCAGCTCCTCCCATTTTCCCACCACACGGTCCACTGTGCACGCCAAGCACTCTAACCTCCACATCCTCACGGTTTGCTTCCTTTTATTCTTTCTGGTCTTTGCTCAGAGGCTACCTATCTCCTTCCCTCTGTTTCTTGCACAGCATTTATGATTACTGACATAATACATATCTGTTACTATCTTTCTTTTCCCACTAGAATAAAAAGCCATGACACCAAGGATTTTAATTCATTAGTTTCTGCTATATCCACAACTGTAGAACACTGTGTGGACCACGGTAATTTCTTAAGAATTTATACAAAGATAACCAACTTAAGAGCATTAAAAGTACTATAAAGGTACTAGTACCAAAATGACTTAAAATGTTACACATTACTGTGTAAATTGCCTATACACAAATTCACCTTAATAAGGTTTCTCTTATCTCCCTAGTTTCAGAAGAAAGCCTTAGGAATTTTAATGTGAAAATAAGATCACTGATTTTTGTAGATGTCCTCTAAAATGTAGAATAGCATCAAGAAATCCATGTCAATTTTTGATGAAGAATATAATTGAAACTAAGCATGCTGTTGGGTTTACCAGGTAACTACTCTGTTTAAAATAAGGCATTCCATGAATGTAAATAATATTTCTATGGTTACAGTTAAGGTAGTCTATTGATTGCACTTGTTTTAAAATCTTACAGATCAAAGCCATCTTGGGCATTCCTGACAGCATAAGCAATCATTTATTTAACTTACGTAGTGACTCTGAAACTCTCTGTACTGGTAAAGTCTTGGCCTTGTTGGAAGACATTCCCTTCCTGGTCCTGGTGCCAAGGGACTGTAGCTACTGGAATGGCAGCAATTTTGTCTTGGAGGGGACATCTGGCCCCATATAGAGACATCTCTGGTTTTCATGACCATGGTGGGAGCATCTGGTGAGCAGGGGCCAGGAATGCTGATTCCCTGGATAACCTTCTGTGACCCAGAATGTCGGGGGTCCAGGTTGAGCAGCTGTGGCCCAATCCTTTGTGAGGCTGCACCATCTTCACAGGGCTGTCAACACCAGCCCTGCCTCTTGTGTAATTTCTAAAGCTCTCTAACGTGACTGAGATTAAGAATCACACAGAAAGCTTTTAAAAAGATACAGAGAAAGGAAAAGATGCCTGGGTCCACTGCAAAGCCAAATGAGACTCTCTGAAGGCAGGCTAAGTTTGCACTGTAAAAGCTCTCCAAGTTACTCCTGTGGTTTTTCCTGCCTGGCATTTAGAAGTTGGCTGTGAGTTAATAAATCCATTTCTAAGAATCAAAGAACACCTTGATCCTGTACCACCAATACCCATCACAGCTGATCCATTTGCTACAAAGCTTTTATGAAAAGCCAAGTGGAGAAACACACTAATGAAGGAACAGGCGCTTTATCTATCTAATCTTTGGATCAGAAAACTTGTTTCAGGAAAGAAGACTGCTTTTAGTAAACTATAGTGAGTTGTTACCAGTGTTGCTGAAGGACAAAATTAGTAGTATTTTCTTTGTCTTTTGTTGCATGGTACTGGGGATTGAACCCACAGCCTTACGTGTACTAAGCAAGCACTCTCGCACTGAGCTATACCCCAGTACTAACAGACAAAATTTAAAAAGACTCTTCAATGAATTACGAATTGGGAGTCTTTTACTTCTCAAGGAATTGCTTCTTTATAAAATAGTAAAAATTACACAGGCTGTAACTTTTTCTCTTTCCTATAATCCAAAGCATTTCAGGGCAAAATTTAGAGTTTAGTGGGAGTATGCAGCATATGAATGTGGTTGTTTTATGTTTGGCTTCAGCCTGTTTTGTTGTTATTGGTGTAACACAACATTATCAGTGTAAGCTGCGTTAAACCTAGTATGCAACAAAATGGAAAATTAATATTTTCTACAAAGCTAACTTTACCACTTACAAGTAAAATATCAAGATAACATTTTAAAATTAAAGTAGCATTAGAAATAATGTTTTCAGTATTAATAAGATTATTAGTTCTAGTTTCATAAACTCAGTATTTTCCAACCTCAAAAAGTAAATGGACAGTTACAATATTTTTCCTATAAAACCTTCCAGTTTCTAAATTTTGAAAAACTCACATAAAGCCAACATTTATTTTTGAAAATCTCATAAAATTTTGAATTATAGATGTGGTACTACTGAAGAGAAGTTGGCATTATATTTAAATCTGGAATAATTAAGTTCTATAAAAATGTGTACTATGTAGTCAAATTTTCTGACCTTATAAAAACAAACAAGTATACCACAAAATATATGTTGCATTATGTATGTAATTACTTTAGGAAATGTAAAAATATATTAGGACATAAAACATGAGATCTTATGTGTTAAAGTTATAAAATCCAATGCTACTTACAGTCAGCATTTTCTGGAAATTTTCTGTGAATATCTTTGTAAGTATCTAATGCTTTTTGGTAGTTACCTATAAATAAAAAAGACAAAAATATTACTAGCAAATCAGAGAAACTAACAGGCTTAAGCAAAACAGGAAAAATAAGTTTGGGTCAAAAATCATTCCTGGGGCTGGGGATTTAGCTCAGTGGCATAAGCGCCTGCCTTGCAAGCAGGCAGTCATGAGTTGGATCCCTGGTACTGATAAAAAAGAAAAAGGCAAAAAAAAAAAAAAAAAAAAATCATTCCTAACATCTAAGCAAACAGATTGGGCTTGACTGCACTAGAGGAATGGCCTCTTAACCTTGGAAGAGCTCCTGGGAGAGACAAAGTAAACAGAGACAGGACGCAGCGTCATGAGCAGGCTCTCAGTGAACCTCAAGCTGGCTGACATCTGTCAGGAAAGCTCATGTGTATGTGCACTTTGCATGACTGACACTAAAACAGTCAAGGGACTGAAAACTCACACTGATAACGGTTAACGCATGTCCAGTACAGTTGTTAATGGACAAGTCTTGAAGTGATCTGAAGACTACGACATGTGTATGAAGCAGTTGTGCATTCTAGTGGCACTGAGAGATAAAGAAACCATCCTCAAAACGGGACAGAACTGCCAACAGTTTCACAAGTTGTGCTTTTCTTGAAGACTTTCTTTCCTAAGCTGTGTGTGAGTGTGTGAGCATGCGTGTTGTGTGTGCACGCGCATTTTTTGAGGAAGGGTCTCACAGTGCAGTTCAGGTTGTCTTGAACTCACTGTATAGCCCAGGTTGGCCTTAAACTCATGGTGATCCTTCTGCCTCAGCTTCCCAAGTGCTGGGATTATAGGTGTGCACCACCAAGGCCATCTTCCTGAGCTGTTTTTATGTTACATAGGAAGATTACATATCTGTTAGAGACGATCTAGTGTAATCTTTGATATTTTCAGCATATCATTCAGTGTACAGTCTAAAACTCTCAGCATCGCTATCATTTAGAAAAGTATTATCAGTGCAAAGCATAATAACAGTAAAGTAGGAAGCAAGATCTCTAGTGATCTTTGGTATAAAAATATATAGTCCAGTTGCAAGCTTTCCTCAGACTTTGCAGGTAGAGGATAGTTTCATAAATTTGGCCGAGTATACCAGACCCTGAGAATCGCAGGAGTAGAAAATCAAAGTATAAATTAATATAAAAAGAATACTTATTGTTTTTCCTATGATTAACTCATTAAAAACTATTATATGTCAGCTTTGAAAACCAGTCTGTTTTTGTTTTCTGGTAGTCTTGGGCATTAAATACAGAACCTGTGCCCTGAGTTAAATCCCCAGCTTTTTCAAAATTTCTGAGACAGGTCTCAGTGACAGGTCACTAAGGTCTAGACTGGGCTCAAACTTGCAATCCCCCTGTCTCAGTCTGTCAGGGTGCTGGGATCACGGGCATCCCGAAGTAACCCATTTTTAAAGAGAGATGCTGGAATACGTGACTTGGGTAAGCTGGGTGTGTATACAGCACAATGACAGAGCACATGCTCTGGGTTTCATCCCTAGTTGCAAACAAACAAAACTGCTAAACAGAAAAAACAATGCCCACTTTGTAAGTACAACTTTTTCTGCACATAATAATTACTGTTTTTCATGTAACTCTTTAATTATGTATACTTATTTTAAAAGTTGGTGTTTTATCAAAGATATATAACTGGAACACATTTATATGCACAATTACCTAAAAAATTAAAAATATAGAAAAAATGATAAAATCAAAACATTTACCACTTCTCCTAAAACAACTTGCTACCATCAGCTGCCATTTCACTTGTGTAGGCCTATAAAAGAATACATTAATTGAAATTAGAGGTGGTACAAAAATAATGACATACTCAAATCATTTTACGAAGCAGTGTATCTGTACCATCTTTCAATTACTCTGACTTTTTGTTAGTTTGTTTTTATTATAGAAAATAGCTGAAATATAATTTCCTTCATTACCACCTGTCATTTTAGGGCATTTAAATTCACAAGTCTTGCAAAGTTCATCTGGCTCAGATCTTTGGACACTCTTAGGAGAACACTTAAATTTGTTTGGCTAAAAACCATTAATTCTGTTTAAACATGATAGTTACTTTTGCCATTTTCTTTATTCATTATATTTAGGCTTGCAAATATTCAAGCAGCAACTTTTGAGCTTATGTTTGAACAATAAGGCTTCAAAGAGAGAGACAAAAAGAATTCTATTTATCCCTTTTTTTTCCCTTAAAAAGGAATCAAGTTGTTTTCTAAAATAAACAATCATAACCAGGATTTTTAAAAGATCAAAGAACAAAAGTTGCAGAAATAAAAGCCTCAGGAACAATTTAGTGTTCTTCTGACTTTTGTGAATTTCCTTTCTACTCACCTGATGGCTACACAAAGACAGTCTCAGTTCCTACCCAATGTGACTGCGAACCTCCCAGCTGTAGGGTAAGACTGATATGGATTAACTCACAGCACTGCCTCATGGGCAAGTTATTTAACTTCAAACCCACTGCCTACACACCCACCCACTGTGATCTAAATAAAATACATATCTAACCATATTACTTCCCTCCTTAAAAATCTGTCACCTCCTCCACCCACATGTTAAATTCAAGATTCTAACCCAGTTTATCTACTTTCTAGTCCTTTTCTGTTCTCCAGCTCATCTTTTGCCAGGCCTTGCCTAACATCTCACGTTACAGAAACTCCCAAGAAGCATGGACATTTGCTGGACTCCTGGTATTTGCACAAACCATCATTCTGACTGCAGACTCGCTTCAACTTCTGTGCACTCTTGAAAGCCAATGTGAATTCGACTGTTTTAAATACTCTCTAACTGCAAGAATTTCTCAGCATACCGCTTAGCACAGTTTTATTTATTTGTGTTTCTTAATACCAACATTACTCTCCTTCCTCAATGGACTACTGTCCTGACTTCTAATACTTTAAACATGGACCTGTTTTTCAATTTTACATAAATGAAAACACACAGCATGTATCCTTTTCACAACACCTGTGTTACTGAGCTATATTCCACCTACTACACAATCCATCCAATTAAAGTATACAATAATTTTAGTACATTACATAGATTTTCTTTCTTTCTTTTTTTTTTAGGCTAGTCAAGTGAAGCAGTGGCAGTGGAGAAGGAACAAAGAAATCTGTAACTGGTTGTGATCAATTAGTTGTAAACACCACTGCATTCGGACCAGCCCATTACATAGATTTTCAAAAATTATGATAAAATATATAATTTGCCATTTTAACTCCTTTAGGTTCAGCATTATAACTGCACTGACACTGTATAGCTAGTACCACTACTACTTCTAAAACATTTTTATTACCCAACAGAAACCCTGCAACCATTCAGCAATAACTCTATTTTCCTCACATCCTAATTTCTGGTAATTTCTTTTGTCTCTATAAATTTGCCTATTTTACATGTTGTAAGTCCCTGACTTAGGAGCATTTCAGTTAGAAGCTTTCACAGATATGAGCGAACCTCACATCAGGACCTCACAGGTTCGAACGTGCTGCAGAAGCAGGCTGTGTCTGTGGGAAACCCTTATGGCTGTGCAGTGGGTGCTCACCCTGCGGGCTGATGGTTACTCCCTGGAGGGAGCATGGTGCGAGATGGAGAAGCTGAAGGAGTATCAGCAATAGGCCTGGAGGGCTAGATTGGATTTGCTCACACCCCATGCACAAGGCACAGGTTTGTGTCTTTTGATGTACTCAGTTCTGTCTACCCTCTTGAAAAAATGACCCAGGGATGTTTGAATAGTAGCTGTTTTCTTCTCATCCTGACTCCACCTTACTCTCCTTCCTCTAGTTACTAACTCCATGAAATCCCTGTATTGCAGGTCTTGCACTGTACTGTACCACCATTTTCAGGGAATTGTGGAAATAGACAGTTTATTCATACTTGTGCTGTACCACCATTTTAAAGGTAACTGTAAAGTAAAAGATAGTTTATTTAAGTACTTTTGTGTTTGGGTTTTTTTTTTTTAATGCTTTACATTGTATATTTGTGTCAAAGGTGGAGAAGACACTGGGCTCAGGAGTGAATCCCAGTTACTAAATGTTCTCTCGGAATAGAACCCAGTCCTAAGTTGGGGATTTACTGTACTTCATATAAGTGGTATCATACAGCATGTGTGTGTGTGTGTGTGTGTGTGACTTCTTTCACTTAGCATGCACAATGTTTTAAAGGTTTTCCACAGTGCAGCACGTATCGGAGCTTCTTTTTTCTGGCGGAATAATATTTCATTGCATACATATGTACCCCAACTTATCTATCCATCTTTGGTGAACATGGGAGTTTTCCATCTTTTGGCTATTGTGAATGATGATGCTATGAGTTTCTGCTTTTATTTCCATTGGGTGTATGCCTAGAAGTAAAACTGATGTATCATATGGTAATTTCTAAGTTTAGCCTTGTGAGGAATGGTCAAATTGTTTTCCATAAAACACCATTTTATATTTCCACTAGCAGCGTACAAAGGTTCTAGTTTTCCCATGTCCTCTCCGACACCTGTTATTTTCCCTTTTTTGGATGATACTACCCAAAAAGGTTTGAGGTGGCCTTTCATTACTTTTGATTTGCATTTCCCAATGACTAAAGGTGGTGAGCTTCTTTTCATATGCTTATTTATTTGTGTACTTTCTTTGGAAAGGTGTCTATCAAGACTGGTGCTCATTTTAATTGGGTTGCTTCTCATGGTGAGCTGTAGGAGCTCTTGTAAGTTTTGGATTTTGATCTCTCATTAAATGTATAATTTGTAAATTTTTTTCTACTTTGTGGTTTTTTTTTTTTACCTTTTCTCTTGCTAAGTGCAAGTTTTTTAAGTCTGAAAAAAAATCTAATTTATCTATTTCTTGTGCTTTTGGTATCATTTCCAATAAATAATGTCATATTTTCTACCAAGATCTCACAAGAGTTTTGTAGCTTTAGGTGTTACACTTAGTTGTTTAATTCATTTTGAGTTAATTTTTGTACATGGTATAATGTAACAGTTCAAATGTACTGTTTGATATGGGGATATCTGGTTTTTGAAGTTTTTTTGGTTGAAATTTACCTGTTACATGAACATTTATTTTTAGATTCCAGATTCTATTCTACTGTGTTATATGTCTATCTTTCTGCTGCAGTACAGAAGCAAATTTTGAAATTAAGATGTGTGAGTCCTCCAATATTGTTCCTTTTCAAATTATTTTGGCTATTTATGGTCCCTTGAGATTCCATATGACTATCAGGATTATTGTTATTTCCATAAAATATTAGGATTTTGATAGAAACTGCATTAAACCCAAGATTGCTTTGAATAGCACTGTCATCTTAACAATATTAAATCTTCCAATCCAGGAACACGGGCATCTTTCCATTTATTTGTCTCCTTTAATTCCATTCAATATCTTTTTTGTTATAAATAAATCTGTTTTTTCAGTCTTCATTCTATACTGCTCACTGTATGTGTATAGAGATACAAAGGAATTTTGTGTGATTTTATATCCTACACTTTGCTGAATTCACTTATTAGATCTATTTTTTGTGTGCATGCATGTATTCTTTAGGGATTTCTACATATAATACTATATCTGTGAGCAGATATACTTTTTCTTTATCTTTTCCAATTTAGGAGGCTTTTTATTACTTTTTCAACTTAATAATGAGTTTGTGGGATATAACCCATTGTATATCAGCTTTTATTTAACAGGAAATGTCTTAATTTATATTTCATTCCTGGAAGATCATTTTGCTGGAAACAGAACTCTTGACTGCGAGTTGTTTTTGTCTTCTTATTTTTGTAATTTCAAGACTTTAAATATATCATCCCATTGTCCCCTGGCCTCCAAAGTTTCTGTTGAGAAATCTGCTGATAGTCTTACTGAGTATCCCTTGTATGTGAAGTGTCATTTTTTCTCTTGTTGCTCTCAAGATTCTCTTTCAATAGTTTGATTATAATGTGTCTCATGGTTGACCTAAGTTTTTCCTAGAGTTCACTGAGTAGTAGATTCATGTCTTTGATCAAATTTTGGAAGTACTGTTGTCCATTATTTCTTCCATTACTTTGTGTCATTTCCTCTTTCTTTCCTTTCTGGAGCTCCTGTAATGCATATACTGGTATGCTGGTAGTGTTTCATGATAATAAAATGCATTAAAAACTTCTCTAAAACTGTGCAAAATGGAACTACATTGAATGGACTAATTAGGGATAGAATTGCTTGAGTTTCTAAGACATTATTATTTATTTATTGGTACTGGGGATTGAACTCACTACCTTGTGCTTGGCATGCAGGTGCTTATGCCATGAGCTAAATCCCCTTAAGCATGATTTATAGATCAAAATAAAATATAAAATGATACTATTGATTTAAACTATCAAAATATCAGATTAATAATAATAAGAAAAAAAATACAGAACATAACAAGGTGAGTTTCTATAGTAAAAAAAAGCATAAGAAATTCATCTTAATTCAATTATATGGCAGGCATATTATAATTTACAAATAACTATGTGATACAAGAATTAGCATCTTCATCCCTAAAGAGCTTATATTTTTATTGAAAAGGTGAAATTTACATAACGAAGACTGCATACATAAATATATGCTACACTATATGTCAACTGAAAGTAAAATGTATATTAAAAATTTAGCATATAAGAACAATATTAAGATGGTACAGAAAACAAATGCTCACAGAGAGGAAAGGTGTCATTAATATGCATTGAATGTCTCTGTCAGGAAAAAGAAATGTTGAAGGAATTTCTCTTCTCAAAGAAACTGAAGCATAAAATAGGGAGAGGAACTGATAAGATCCTAGAAGTAAACAGGAATTGAAGAAACAAGACTGAGAAGCAGTGTTGACATAACACAGGTTCATGTGGCATTAATACATCTGGCATATTACTTTTTGTCACTGATATACAATATCCAACACATACGACATAAATGACTAGTAGTTTAATTTGCTCATGATTTCAGACTAAAATCAGCTGGCTCCAAGGCAAATACCATGGCGGAACAATGCTGCTGAGTTATAGTGGGAAGGAAGCAAGCAGGGGAAAACACCATGGATGAAGGGTAGGAGAGCAGACGCAGACCACGAGGCCATGGCACCAAGACCACAGACACACCCAGGAGTACGCTCACCACCCTGTGGGGTGGATCACAAAGCTTATCAAGCTGAAACTCCACCTTAATCATCACACTCCACTTCTTTTCAATTTGCTATCAAAACACAGCCACTCAAATGATACTTACTCTCCAAAGAAAATGCAGGGTGGCATGGACGAGGGCAACAGTCAAGGCAACAGAAGACAGCAAAAGCGGCAAGAACAAAAGTGGGTGGGGAAGCAAGCTTCTTTTCCTACCATACACTGTCGGCAGGTCACGCACCATGGGGCAGGTGCAGCACTCACAGCATCTCCTGCCCTCCTCTTGCACAGGATGAGGATGTTGATAAAGTGAGGGGGCCGGCTCCCTTAAACTCCTAAACTTCTCAAGTTGACACAGTGTATCAACCTTTCCAGCCATGTGTCCACAACCCACCCAGACACACCTAGAAGTATGTTCCACCAAACCCCAGATCCAAAGTCAATCCAATTAAAACTCCACTCTGTCCACCACAATTTGTCACACAATTTGTTTCTTTTTTTTTATGAAATTTTTTTGTCTTTTTCCTTTTTATTGGTACCGGGGATCGAACTCACGACTGCCTGCTTTCAAGGCAGGCGCTTATGCCGCTGAGCTAAACCCCCAGCCCCTACACAATTTGTTTCTGATAGTACCTCACTGGGTGTGCAGAGTAATGTGATGAATGGTTGAATTAACCCAATAACTGAAAATTTTTGGCACAGAAGGGGTAGCAATGTAACAAGGAAAAAGGAACTGAGGGCCTTAATAAGAGAACAGATGATCAGTTAAACAGCCCAATAAGAAAAGAGATTGCAGAAGAAAGGCCAAGAGATTGAAGGTCTCTATTACAAACTGTGCCACTATAAACATGGGTGCACACATGTCACTGTGATATGATACTTTTAACTGTTTTGGGAAAACACCAACAAGAGGAATATATGGGTCAAATGAAACCTCTAGTCCTAGGTTTTTGAGGACTCTTTACACTGGTTTCCACAGTGGTTGCACCAGTCTACACTTCCACCAACAGTGGAGAAGGGTCCTCTTTTTTCCACATCCCCTCCAGTATTTGTTACTGGTTGATTTCCTGATAATAGCCTTTCATTCTGGAGATGGAATCTCAGAGTTGTTTTAAATTTGCATCTCTTGAATGATCAGTGATGTTAAACATTTTTTCATATATTTATTTGCCATTTGTACTTCTTCACGTGAGAAGTATTTATCTCAGATGCTCATTAGACTCAAACTTGTGATGTTCCTGCTTCAGTCTCCCACAGTGCTAGGATTAGAGGTATGCAACACAACATCCAGCTATAAATAATCTTTTAAAAACAAAGTCACTAAAATAATACATAAGTCTTACCTAGCTTCACAGAAGAATTTTTAAAACTCTATGCAAAGAGGAAATATTTTTACCACAATAAAGACCAAGTAAAAAAGAATAAAATACAAGAAAATGAAAATAATGCATAAATTTTTATATCTTTTCTTGCATTTACAAGGTCCATCAGATACAAAACTTACAGGCATAAAAATTTCAATGCATTAATTAAACAAAATCCTCTAGTTAACTTACTGTATAAGAGAAGCTCTTTCAAAGTACTGAATTGCTTTTTCACAAAATTGAGTATCAATGTAATAGGCTCCAAGCCACTCGATGACTTCAATATTAGAAGGGAAATATCTGTATGACTGGGAAAAATGAGCCAATATAACCTCAGTAGCAATATTTAATATACTCTCAAAAGCATTAATATTCAATGAACTTATTTACACAATGGGAAACTTCTTAATCCTCCTGGTCTTTTTTTTTTTTTTTTGTACTGGGAATTGAACTCATGACCTTGCATTTGCCAGGCAGGCACTTATGCTGCTGAGCTAAGTCCCTGGCCTGAAATTCCTTAATAAAAAAGTATGAGTTGTCATAGATTTCTTACAATTTGTTTTGAGACAAGGCTTTGCTATGTTGTCTAGCTGGTCTTGAACTCACAATGGAGCCAAACTAGCCTCAAACTCACAAAAATCCTCCTGCCTCCATTTCCCAAGTGATAGGATTACTGGTGTGACCACAATAAGATCTGGAAAACTTAAGTTTGCTTGACACATTTTTCAATTATGTACAAATGATTTTTAGATATAATATTATAAGACATGAGTCATATTATTCAAAAGAATCAAAAGGGGATAATAAATCATGCTTTAGCCAAAAAATGAATTTGTACATTTTAAAAATTAATCAAATAATTTTACATTTCCAAAATACCTTATTTTAAATTATGCCGTTAAAAATTAATAAGCTTGTCTAAAACTTTACAGGTCTACTGACTTTAAAATTCACAGAATTCTGGAACAAGAAGAACAGTAAGATACACACTTACCTCATAGTAGTACTGGAAGGCCTGGGATTTGTCTCCTTCACTGTCATACAACTCTCCTAATTTGGACAAAGCTTTAGAGTCAGTTGGAACAACGCTGATGAGCTGCATCAGCCATTCGATGGCCTGATTGGGATCTTCCATTAATTCATACCTTAGGCAATGTCAGTTAAGGATGACGCAGCTTTTTAATTCACTAACTGGTAAGCAAAAGGTCAGTAACATGAACACATCACTGTCACTTTGTCCGCGTCCTCGACTGCTTTAGAAGTAGGGTAAAACTGGGGCGGAGCTGCGCAGCAGTGCTGCTGCCCTCTGTGTCTGCCTCCTCCTTTTGCTTCACTACCTTCCGCTGAGATCAACTCCCAAGTTTCTGCCAGAATTATGAAAGGCAGGGCCCCGAGTTTGTCCTTAAAGTATGCCTCAATGTTTGTTCAGTTAGTTCCGCCACTCTTTTTAACTGTGGTTTATTAGTACACACGTGTAGTGCATAGTGTTTACATTCCTGTGTGGAGCTGGTGCGTGACACACAGCACATCCCGATTCCTCTTCTTCACCTCTTACACCTTCCTTCATCGCTCGAGCCCCTTCCCCTTTGAGAATGATCTCCCTTCTTTTATGACTTATTGTTTTATTTTGCTCTTTATTTTTACTGTCACTCTTAACACGCTAACATATTAAAAGAATCATTTTTATGTATTTTCCATGCGTTTTTTCCCTAACTTGATTGTAGACCCTAGAATAGGGAGTTTTTTTGCAGCTTCCTTAGTACCTAGTAAGACCTCGAAATACACTCAAATAATTTGTTCCCATGAATAGTTACTATATACTTATTATTTTTATGTTTGATGTTTCAATGAAATTGAGATATTTCAACCCAAAGATTCATTACAAGGGAAGGTTATCCTGGTTTTTGTTTTTGAGATAAGGAATCTCTAAGGTGCCCCAGATGGCTTCAAGTTTACCATCCTGATTCAAGCTCGCGAGAATCTGGGATTATAGGCACGTGCTACTACTCTAAGCTTGGTCTCCTGTTCTCTATGGTGACAAATGTGACACCACAATAAAAAAATAAAAGGACCAAGGGCTCAGTGGTAGACTGCCTGCCTAATATATTCAATCCCCAGTAGTGCAAACAAATAATAAAAATACATTTTAAAAAGGGAGGCAGACACCTCACACATAGTAATTACTTGATCACTAATTTAGCAATACCAGACTATGATGTGACAGTTTCAGAGAAATTTAGTGAACAGAGAACTATGAAAAAACTAAAAGGAGTAACTATGATGCTATCTGTTCTAAAACTAAATTTTTAAACAAAAATTTAAAAATGTATCAAAAGTGTAGTGCATAGTACTTAATTTATAGCACATCTCACAACATACTTTTTTCTGAACATATTTAAATGAACTTTATATCAAGATTAGGAACTTAAAAAGCTACCTAAGATTTTAACTCTTCTCCATGTTGTGGTCAAACCTTACTAATGTGCTTTTTATGCAGTATGAAAGGCACGAATAAATGTCTGCTTTTCTAACCGTGGGTGGGCGAAAAACAACTGAAGAAAGCCAGGAGTCATGGAAGAAACGGAGCGAGAGCAGTACTCTATAGTCCCACAATGCCCAGAGCTCTGAAACCACACTGGCACATGCAGCACACATTCGAGGAACGAACACCGGCTGAATGGAACGAACGAGTTCATATGAAGTGCTGCACAGTAAGGTCTCTGGAGAGCCGAATTTATTATGTCTACATGACAGCTAAACAAATACATCATTCAAACTCACAAATCAATAAATGAGCTTCAACTATTTACAAATACCTTCAACAATGCAATGTTCATTCATTCATGCATTTTTGTGGTACTGGGGATCAAATCTGGGGCCTGTGCCAGATATATAGTTTTTCATTTTGAGATAAGGTCTCACTAACTGGCTAAGTTGCCCAGCTGGGGCTAGAACCTGTCATGCCTCCAAAGTACTAGAATTACAAGTGTGTGAATGGGTTTTTTTTTTTGTTTTTTTTTTGAGGCAGGGTTTCACCATATGGTTCAGGCTGGCCTTGAACTCACTTTGTAGCCCTTGAACTTGCTGTGATCCTCCTGCCTCAGCCTTCTAAGTGCTGGAATTATAGGCATATATCACCACTCCTAGCTTGCGAATGATCTTTTTTTTTTTTTTTTTTTTTTTTTTTGTCTTTTTCGTTTTTATTGGTACCAGGGATCGAACTCACAACTGCCTGCTTGCAAGGCAGGCGTTTATGCTGAGCTAAATCCCCAGCCCCATGAATGATCTTTTAAAAACAGAATCACATAATATTTTCATCACATGCTAATTATGCTAGTTAGATCACCTTCATGGTTACTTCAAATACTATCCTCATGAATTACCTTGATGGTTAGACTCATTTAAGCACAGACACTCAATCACCACTTATTGAATTAATGACTACCCTTAATTTTTTTCAGGTAAGATACACATTTGCTATCTGGTAAAGCACTTGGGCACTATTCCGCAGAATTGCGTGAAGTTTCAGGAAACACTCCAAAGCTTCATCTAGCCGGTTAAGCTTCTTATAGGTAAGGCCTTAGGAAAAAAAAAAAACATCTATAAGTGTGATTATTGGCATAAATGTACTCAGAGTAAAAGAATGACTTTTTAAATATATGCAAATGTTCATTCAGATGAGAAGATGAACTGACAATTTTTTAAAAGAACAATTTATGCAGACAACAAACATTACAAAACATTACAAAGCTTTAGTGATTTGATCTGACTGCTCTAGTGACTTTAAAAGCATGGTATGGATTTTAAACGGAGTAATAGGCACACAGATAAAAAGAACAGATAAAAAATAGTTCAGAAATTGACTCAGATATAGAAGTTAGTTCATGGGCGTTTCAAATCAGTGTGGGGGGGTAATAAATGGTAATAAAGGGGGGATTATACATGAAGAAAAAAACGTAGGTCATTATTTCACAAAAACTAAATTAAGAATTTATTTAAAAGCTACATATAAATACAAAGCTGTATGAGTAGGAAAGTGAAATAAACTTTCAGCATCTCTAATACAAAAAGTTTAAAATCTGAAACTTTCTGAGCTCCAACACATCACAAATAGAAAATTTCACAAGCAAAATTCAGATGCACTAAAAATATTGTATAAGATTACCTTCAAGCTCTGTGAATAAGAAACAAAAATGAATTTTGTGCTTAGACTTGGTCTCATCCCCAAGGTATTATATATGCAAATATATGTAAATATTTCAAAACTTTAAAAAATCCAGAATACTTTTATGGTCCCAAGCATTTTTCTTTTTGGGTACTAGAAATCAAACTCATGATCACACTACTTGCCAGGCAGGCACTGTGCCACTGAGCTATATCCCCGGCCCTGGGTACTCCATTTATATAGAAAAATGATTTCATAATCTTTGGGCAAGGGAAGGGCTTCACAGAGTAACAAAGTCACCAATTTTTAAAAAGCCAATTTTACTACATTAATTAGTAAGAGAAGAAATTTTAAAAAGAAATATAAACAAAGTCAAAGGCAGACCAGCAAGGGCTGGGGATGCTGCTCCCCAGCAGTAGAGCACTTGCCTAGCACACTCAAGGCCTTGGATTCGAGTCCCAGGAATGCTAAGAAGGTGGAAGGAGGGAGGGAGGAAAGAGGAAAAGAAGGGAAGGAAAGAAAAAGGAAGGAAGGGAGGAAAAAAGGAAGGAAAAGAGCAAGGAAGGAAGAAGGATGGAAAACAGCGAGGGAGGGAGGAAGAAAAAAGGAACGTAACGGTAGGGAAATATTTAAAATTCATAAAGTGGACAAACGTCTATTTAGGCAAGCAAGTCCACACGTGAAGGCCTTTGCTGTCCTCCTTCCTGGCCAGTAACACTCTTCAGACACCTGGTCCTGTGCTCTCCTCTCCTCCAACACAGCGAGTCACTGTCAGGGAGCCTCTCCGGACTCCACCTAAGGCTGTACTTCCTGCCAGGATCCCTCCTTCTTCCTTTAAATTAGCATCTCCTCTGGGAAGAAGGTCCCCAACTAAGACCAGAGGAGATGAAACAGGTCTCCTGTGCAGGTACACCCATCAGTCTCCCCGCAGTGTTGGGACGCAAACTCTGAAACACTAGGAACAGCCTAAGCTCATGGGATAACTGACAAGAGTTCACAATGTGAAAAGAACAAAGGAAACAAGCAAAACGCCAATGCAGAGAGAAGCAAATTTTAAAAGAAACTTCAATAATGATCCAAGCGAAAAGATGTGTGGTGGTGGTGGTGGTGGTGTGTGTGTTTGCAGGAAGCAGTGAGATGTACTTCTGAGACTCCCAAAGGCAGGGAAGAGAAAGAGGCAATGGTAATCCTCCTTCCAACATTTTGTTGCAAGAGTCTCCTCAGAATGAGTTGGGGAAAAGCCCAAATAATGCAAACATCAAGTTTTGTTTCACTTACCAATATTATAAAGGGCTTCAGTACAGGAAGAATCATTTCTTAGAGCCTCTTTATAGAATTCAGCTGCCTTCTCATAATCACCATTTGCAAAAACTGTATTCCCTTTATTAGTGAGAGCTGATGGGTTATATCTATCAGAGTTCACAGCTAGATCTGCATAGCTGCTGGCCTGTGCAAATTCATTTTCCTAAATGGAGTATAAGAAATATTACAAATGAGTTTCATCAAATTGTTTTTCAAATTGATCTGAGGTTAGATATAATAAACAGACTTTCTGGTTATAGATAATGGTGAAAAACAAATATTTTACGTATGTTGGTTTTCACAGGCTATACAAAAGATTTTTAATTGTCAAGCCCAGCCACCCGAGACTCTTATGACTGACTTCTCTAATCTCATGGCTTAAATAACAACTCTGTTTATATGCAGGTGGCTCCATACTCAACGCCCAAGTTCCCTGTCCTCATCTGCTGCAGAGCCCTCCCATCCTACCTACCTGAAGTAACTGGAAGGCATCTCTGTCCTCCCTGCCCTGCCTGCAAGGGTCCTGCAAGCCTCGAGGTCACTGTTTTTTCTCCTCGCCCTCACTGGTCACTTTGTGGGACCTGGGCACACTCATGTGCTGTGGGAACCTCGCCGTTCTTCAGTGGTGTGGCCAGCTGTGCCAGGTCAGCCTGGCCAAGCCAGGAACTACATTCCCGAGAAGCTTCTTTCCTGCCTAGCTCCCGTAACATCTGGAATGTGGAGCCGACAGAGCAAGTGCTCATCTCATCTGGAAGGCTGTTTTCGTGTGATCGCGTGGAGGAGGATGTGCAGAGCCCAGAAACACCGCCCTGTCCTCACTGCAGTTCTTCCCCTGACTGTGCTGTCCTGCCCGGGGGTGGGGGCTTCACTGTGTCCCCTGTGGCAGCTGCACAGAGTCTGCTGCTCCTGCGGACCTCCTCACATATGCCCTCTGGCCCTGTGGCAGCGTCTGGATGACAGAGGCACCTGCTGACTGAGGGTGAGTCCTCTCAGGTCTCTAACACCAAAACTCCTCCGCGACTATTTCCCATATCCCTTCTCCCACAATGCCCCCAGAGACTGTCCCTAGTTGAACATTAAAACATGAAGATGCTGACACATCCTGGAATGCACCCTTAACAATATCTAATTCAGTGGCATTTCATATGTTCATAAAGCTGTGCAGTTATCACCCACATTTCCCTCTCTCCAGAATATTTTATCTCACCCCACAAAGAAACTCCACACCCACTAGAAGTCTTTCCTCATTCTCCTTCCCTCCGCCCCGGCAACCACTAATTTTGCCCTTCCTCTTCATGCCTACTCTGCACAGCTGACACAAACTGAATCACAGCATATGCGTCTTCTTTCACTCAGTATAATGTTTTCAAAGTTCCAGCACAGATATCAGTAGTTTGCTCTTTTTAATGGCTGAGTAACACTCCATCGTGTAGATATCCAACATTTTGATTATCTCTTCATTGTGGACACACACTGGGTTGCTTCTACCTGCCTTCTGGTTGTTATGAGGAATGCTGCCAAGAACATTCATCTTATGGCTCAGATCTAAAATGTCTCCTAAAACTCTTGTGTGTGCAGACTTGGGGCCTGGTTGAAAAAGTCAGGTTTCGGCCGCACGATCTAGAAGGGTGTGTTCTTGTCCCTGGCTCTTCCCTTTCCTCCCTGTACTTGGCTTCCGCAGCAAGAACACCTTTCCCTGCCATGCTCTTTCCTCATGCCATTGCTGCCTTGGAGCCTGTCAACCATGGACTGAACCCACGGAAACTGTAAGGCAAAATAAACTTCTTAAGATTTAGGCATTGAATATTTTGTTCCAGTGACGAGAAAGTGACTGGACTCTGACTAATGCAGAAACTAGCACCTGTAAGTGGACACTACTGTCATGAAAACTAAAACATGTAACTGTTTTTGTCTTCTTGAGACAGGGTTTTACTATGCAACTCAGGCTGGCCTTGAACTCACAGAGATCCTCCTAGTCAGCCTCCCGAGTGCTGGATTACAAGTGTGCACCACTATGCCTGGTAACCTTTTTTTTTTGACTACGCAGCAGGCAGAATTTAGACAAGCTAGGAGGGGCAGCTGTTGGGCACTGGAGTTGGTGAACCTGACAGAGTCTGAAAGGGTGAGAAGAAACTGCTATTAGAGGGTGTGTGAATGGCAAGTAACATTTGTAGTTACAACATCTGGGAAAACTGGCACTTGGAAGGCAGAACGGGCACCTAGTAAACGTGCACTTGTGGGCAGGGGTTTCTAGACAGGCTGCTGAAATGCCAAACATCTTATTTTCACTGTGTATAGAGTAGAAGAAGAAACAGATAATCTAAAGAGAGAACTATTCAGTTCATAGACAGAATTCAGATAAAATATAGAAGAATCAGGACTTGCTGCTTGGAAGAAAAATCACTTCACGTCTCCAGCAGTTTATCTTGGTAGCAGGAGACTCTCCAAGAAGGACAAATCAATTCAGGGGTATGGCTGTAACACTTTTTGTAAACATCTGAGAAAGACTTAAGGCCGTGTCTATGCAGACCTCATTTAGGTAGAAAAACCTCTAAGAGCCCAGACACAGCAGCCTGTGCACCTAGGCAGAAGGGGTCTGGCTTGTGAAGAACGACAGACCAGGCTCTTGGGCTGTGAAGTAAACGCCAATGAGATTACAGAAAACCCTCAGACTTCTTAAGGATGTGGACTGAAGAAAGTGTTGGTAGCTTGGAGGGACAGCAAGAACAAGCCTCTGACCCCAAATTTCTCTGGGCAGAAAGCAGGCTGAGAAAGTTTAAAACCATCAGATACGCTATTTCCTTTGTAAAAGAAAGATGTCCTCACAGGCAGAGCCTTGGACCACAGAGAATAATGGATAAAGGAACCACTCTCAGGAAGCACTCTAATCAAGCAACACAGACTTTCTCTAGGCTAGGGCCGAACTGGTTTTAGAACTGCTAAACACTGGTGACTGCCATGTGCCTCCGGCTTCCTCCTTTGGATGAGAGTCAGAAAGCGATCCTGTTCTCTCACCATGTGGCGAAATGAATGTGCAGGGCTCCAAATGCTATGCCTGTTCACAGAACTTAGGATCTAGATCTTTCCCAGAAGAGAGAAGCTGCACCTGAGAAAGCTCACCCATTCAGACCTGATGTAGATCCCGGCCTAAAGCCTGACTCTGTGACTGTAGTCTCAGAGTCTCGGGAGGACTCAGTATGTGTGGCTCACGGCAGGATGTGCCTAGCTGGGGTTCAGGAGCAGGCAGGAGAACACCCTCCCAGGAGTCACACACCGTTCTCTCCTGGGTGTGCTCCTCCCAGGGAAGCAGTAACCAGGTCAGTGCGCAGGAGACTGGTATGCAGCTGTGCATGCAGTCCTCCCTCGCAGGACCCAGACCTGTGAGAGAAGTCCGGGATGTTCCTGCCAGGATAAGCCTTGCACCACAGCTCAGCTGAAGGCTCGAGGAGGCACCTGGACCTCCTGGCCTCAGGCAGGACCAGCAGGTAAATTCAGCTCATGGGTCAAATGCGAGCAAATGCGTGGTTACTTGAAGCTCAATCTGGGAGATTCTCATCACACAGCAACAGAAATGGTACAACTATATGCTGGAGGGCAAGGACCTATTTTCTATTCTGTGTCATATACAATTTCAGGCCAGACTCATTTCTCTACCTCACTGAATTCTTTTTTCATTTTTAATGCACATGTGCGTGCGCACGCATACACACACACAGTCCCATAAACTATCTTAAAATGCAAAACAGATTTTTGCTATCCAGCATACAGTTGTACCTTCAGCATATTTATCCAACTTGGTGAAGATCTGGTCACTAATTAAAACATTTTCGTAAGTTTATTAATGAGTTTCTAAAATCAAAATGTTAATGGTACGACGGACACCATGTTTTACTCCAAGATCTGTCCTTCAGAACTGCTGGGCATGAGCCCAGGACACCTGCCTAGCAGTCACCCTGGGCTGAAGACAGAGGCCCTTCACCCTCTTCCTGGGTGGCAGGCTGATGTCAAGGTATAAATTCCTGGTCTCTTCTCTCCCACAGGGGACAAGGCATCTTAGAAAGCTCCAGGGATCCTAGAAAGCTCTATCACAGCCACCTGCTGTTCAAACTTGTTCCTCCCAGCACTCTCCCCTCACCCCTCAAGGGCTCTGCCAGGGAATCTCCTTATCAGGCCAGCGTCTTTCATCTTGCTGGCCTTAGGTGCTCAGTGCCATGGCTTTCCTCTGAAATAGTGCCCTCCTTCACTTCCCAGACATCAGTACTGTCTTGGCTCTCTTCCTGTCTTGATCCGAATTTCATGCTTGCCTCCTCAGAGTATTCCTGTTCCACAGTCAGTTCTCAGTTCTGGGCCTTGCTCTCCCCGGTGGAGAGACAGTCCAGTATACAGCTGTCACCACCAAGAGATGACCACTAAATTTTATCTCCATCCTGATTTTCTTCTGAGTGCTGTTCCTGTACCTTCTGGACACATTTCTATTTGAATATATCACCATCACTAAAACCAATTTTAACTACGTTCAGACACAAACTCAGAATCTTTTTCCCTATTCAGCACCCTCTGGACATGCAACCGGCACCTTCTCAGGTCAGCACATGTCACACCTGGGAGCCCCTGTCAGCCAGGGTTTGGTCTCTTTCTTCCGGGAGGAGACAGTGCCTTCCAGGATAATGGTGGTGAATCTCCGCGGCACACAGATAGGAAGCTCAAGGACAGACCAGGAAAACAGTTCCACAAAACACCACCACTCTCCTGCGCACCTCCTCCCCGCCGCCCAGAACTTTCCTGTCTCTGTGCTATCACTGATTTCTCCTCCAAACACCTCTTCCTCTCACCTGTACTGTGGTCATCAAAAAGATTTTTCTATGAAATCTTTCCTGAAAGCCATAAGTAAAATGCTCTTCAGCTCTTTTGAATTTATCAGATACTTATCACCAACATTACATTATTCTTCTCTGCTTTGAGCCTTTCTTTGTAGTTGACCCACCCCATCTCCTCTGTTTCAAATTAAGGAAGACTTTAGTACTTTTAATGAGTGGTATGCAGTAGGCACTGAATAAATGCCATAACTTTATTTGAATCACTTAACCTAAGACTGTCATCCTTACCAGCGCAGAGCTGAAACCCACCTCTGGCTCACCTCACAGCTGTATACTTCCCAATTCTTGGTGCTTCACTGCTCCCACAGTCCCTCTCCCTCCCTCCTGTTCACGGTCTTCTCACTCATGGGTCTGCAAACCCAGGCTCCAGCCCAGCACCTGCCACCACCAAGGCTCCTCTGTCAAGGCTCCCACAATTTGAGCCATGTGAAACTCCACGTGTCCAACTTGCAGACACGGAAACAAACTTACCAGGTAGTACAGGAATGAGAGGTTGGTTGCAGCTGCACTTTTTACTCTGCTGTCCTTCTTTTCAAACATTTTTAAGGTATCGACAGCCTACAAGAGAAAGATCTGAAGTTACACCACCGTAACATGACAGTACTGCAGCTTACCGTTGGGGCGAGATTTAATGTGTGTGAAGGGAACAAGACAGATGTAAGTTTCATTCGAGAGTTAGAATCCATAAAAAACAGAATGGAAATTTTGGAACTAAAAATATAAGTGAAATTAAGACTACACAGAGGGGTTAAACAGCAGATTAGACACAGCCATAGAGGAGTGGGGAGCAGAGGGGAAGTCAGTAGACAACACTGAATCTTGTGAGGCCTGGGAAGCTCAGTGTGTTAATCGTACAAAACAGGGTGAGCACCGAAAGGTTCTACTATAGACAAGATCACACTCATGTGCTACAAAAATTCTGGGATTTCTGCTTCTGGCTACTACAGACTGACAGCAGACCACTCTGCCACAGAGAACACCCAGAAAAGTTACATGAACACTAAAAATATCTTCTGAAGACCCGGAGAGCTCCTGAGGCAACCAGGGCTCGAAGGCCAAGATCCCAGAAAATGTACAGATTAAATGTGGCACATGTTGCGCTGGATGGTGTGCAACTATAAACCCAGCATTGCTGGAGGCTGAGGCAGGAAGATTACAAATTTGAGCACAGTCAGGGCAACACAGCAACTTGGTGAGATGATGTTCAAAATAAAAAATAAAAAAGGACTGGGGATGCAGCTCAGTGTGAAGATTCTCCCTGGGTTGTTCAAATCTCAGTCGTGAAATGAAGGAAAACAAAACCAAACAAAATGAAGACATATGGGAACACAGGGAGAACGTCCAATGTGAATATAATTAGAATTCTTTTTTTGGGGGGGGATACGGGGGATCAAACTCATGACCCTGCACTTGCAAGGCAGGCACTTATGCTGCGGAGCTAAATCCCCGGCCCTGTAATTAGCATTCTAAAAGGGACAGAAAATAAATGGCTGAGAGTTTTCCAAAACAATAGTAAAAAAAATAATAATTTTAGGGATATTAAAAATAAGCTAGATCTAAATTTAACCATATTTTTAAATGATGAGACCTGAAAGCACGTTTTTTTATCACGTGGCAAGTCTGAGACAATGTTGACTGAACGGGATACGCAGGCTGACAGGTACCTAACGTGAAAGCAAGCGCAGCGTACTGAACCTGAAAACAACTGCTGCCTATCAGAAAGAAAAACAATGGAGAGAGGGATCATGGGCTTTCCTGCCTTCCTTCTTTTAAAGGAAATTTACCAAACAGGAAACACCCAGCCTCTGAGTACCTCCCAGAGGGCAGCTATGTCCAGCAAAACCCTTGCTTCAGCTCTTGGTTACAGCCACTGCAAACAGCTGAAATTGTGCAACACGCGCTGAATGCAGTGTCCACCCAAACGAGGGCACTCCAGGACCAGCAGGCACACCGACTCAACTCTTTTGGAGGTGGATTTAGAAATATCAGATTCCGTATATGTTAGATATTGTGCCAGTTAGGTAACTGTCAGCCTGAGAGCAGCAGAGACTCCCAGGAGGAGCCTGCGTGCTCCCAGCTAGGTGCCCTGGGGCTCACGCTGAAGGTTCTGTCAGGAGGCAGGGCAGGGGTGGGAGAGGGTCACTGGGGCCTGGCCTGGAGGCCCACGGCTCACCGGTGCTCCTCCTTGTGCTCTGCTTCGCTGGGGCTGTAAAGTGAGGGCGTTGCGCACCGCACACACCTGCCCTGATGTTTCTGCCTTGGAGCCAGCTGACCATGGCCGAAACCCTGAGCCTAATAAACCATGTTCTCCTATAACCTGTGTCTCAGAAATGGACAGCTGACCCAAACAGTGACAAGAGGAGTAAACGGTGACTGTTTTTAAGGGGGTTTTGCCGATCTGAAAGAAAAGTGTTGGACATGTCTAGGCTAGTAGTTTATAATTCCACAAAGTAAACACTGGAACTCACTTCTCAGACTTTATTTTTCACTTTTTTCCTTGGAGGAATCTTACAAAACTGTCAATAAGTTCCTAAAACGTACCTAAAAATTGATTGTTGCTACTATTGCTCATTCTATAAAAACCACCTCATGGGTTCTTTATATAACATCCAAAGCTATTAACGTGGAAGCCTCTGCTGCTTTGAATGTCTAAATTACATAAGCTGTATTTCACTTTGAATAAAAATTGGGATGTTTTCATCTTCATTTTTAGGTTTTGTCATAATAAATGGATGTGCTCAAAATATAAGACATTTGAATAGGTATAACTGATACAAGCATTAAACTCTGAGGTGAAGTGCACAGGAGAAGAAATCTGCTCTCTAGAAGTGATCACATCTATGCCACAAAAAGAAAACTAACAAACAGCAATAATTTTAAAAAAAGGATTCTATAGTAATGTGTATCATTCCTCTTAAAGGCAGCCATTCATAATATAGTCAAAGAAATATGCTGAATTTAACTTTTTTATTGTTCTACTTTGTAGCTCATTAATAACAATACTTTAAGGTTAAATTTAGAACAAAAACTATTTTTTTCCCGAAGAGTTACTATGAATATATATAATATATAAAAAGTAATGCAATCAAAGCCTTTTTCTTAGAAGAATTAACAAAAGTATTTAGAACTTAAAATACTCATTTAGACACATTTAACACATTTAGCAAAATATTTTTTTCTAAACTATGAACTATTCTAAAAGGCTATGCAATTATTCTAATACTGCCAGGCCTGGTGGCACACTAGGTAATTCCAGCACTTGGGAGGCTGAAGCAGGAGAGTCACTGTAAGTTCGAAGCCAGCCTGAACTATATAGGGAGGCCCTGTCTCAAACAAAACAAAACAAAATTATTCTAATCAAAACAACACTCTCACTTTTCACTTTTTGAAAAGACTTCTTTCAAAACTGTTCTTTTTAAGTCCTACTCAATATTTCTGTTTTTTAAGTAAAATATTATTAATTTATAAATCAAACTAATAAACATACACTGTGTCAAAATTAAATTTAGTTAAAATTAATTGTGAATGGCAAGATAGCAAAAATGCACTAAGTATATTTCAGTTTTTTTTTTTCTAAACTAGTGCTTAGAAAGTCATCCTCATTGGCCTCACCCTAGGTACATTTCATTCATTGTGTGCTTTTTAGTGTAGTTTTTTCTATATTGCAAAAGTGGCTACAGCTATAACTATCCCAAAGAACTATATTCTATAATTCCAGCATCTTTTCTAAAAAAAGAGAAGGATTACTTCTAAAAGCGTATCCTTATAGAAAACATAAATTCTTCTTTTTTACTTTGAATAGTAAACAAGGTAACAATCATAATGAGATATGTTGATCTAATTCTTTTTAATCTAATACTGTTCCTTTAGAACTAAGATCATATTATATGCCCCTCATCATATGTGGGAAAACCTGTAATTGGCTGCCACCTTTTATCTGCAGGCCGCACCACCTTAACATCCTCCAGGAGTTAAGTTTGGTAGTTAAGCAGCACCTTGCCTACCTAGCTTGTTTGGTCTATTCAGGAATTATGTTAATCAGCCCGCCTTATGAGCCCGGGAAATTTGAATTAACCTATAACCCTTGGTCTTGCCACTGTTGCTAAGTTACCTGCTGACATCTCAGAACCCAACTCCGTCCTCCCCAATACCCTATATATTTGTTACTCCTCTCCTCAATAAACGAGACTTGATTGGACTTCTTCATCTTGTCTCCATCTTTTGTGTCTCTTGTTTTTATCCCCACTCCCCCTCTAGGGTCTCCCTGGACTTACCTGCAGGCAGGGTCAATCATAGTTACAATAAACAAAAGAAACACAAAGTGACAGCAGTAATACTGAGAAGAAAGCAGAAACGACATTTAAAATCAATGCGAAACTACTTGTTATTAAAAGTCAAACATGCAAATGGAACAAAAGCAGACAGGAAAGCAGTGGACGTAAGATCTGTGTTAAATGGATTTATCTGTGCAAATGGAAAACATCAGAGTTTATTGCTTGATAGACAGTGTTAAAACATACTATATCACTGCATTGTTAACCTTTAACCCTTTTTAGAAAGACCACGGGGAAATAAAATGTCAAAGAAAAGCTGCCATTGCTGACCCGAGAGACTTTCTCAGCAAACATGCCACTCTCCACAAACAACAGGAAGCCACTAAAGTGGCATGCAGCCCTCAGCAAACAGAACAGATAGCCATAAGGAGAATTCAGGACAGGACATACGATCTCCCCAGTGTTGGGAAGTCCAGGTTTATCTACACACCTGCACTGACCACCTTGGGACTTTGAACACATACATTCTACCCAGATTCCTTGGGATGAAAACCTCACTCCCAAATCCTATAAAAACTTAACTTCTCCTCTGGCCAGCTGCTGAAACCATTTATAATCTTATCCTGTCTGCACCAGACAGAACTAACCCAGCCTGCTCACATAAAACAGGTGGTTTCCAGTATACTGTTGACACATGGTGTGCTGGAAATCTGGGATAGGGTAGTCCTTTCCTGGAGGGTCTCACACCATTTCTTGAGCCTTTCATCCTACTGAGGTCACTGCTGACACTGGCCCCTGGATCTCGCTCCAGTGTTCCAGAGAGTTCCCTGGATCCTGCCACTCTGATTGCTTCAGATCTGATAAGCTCCCCCCCCCCTTTTCATACTTCTATGCCTTTAAAATTTCCCCTCACCCACAGCTGCCATGCAGCTGCTCCTTAGCTCTCTGCACCTTTGATACTCTACGCCTTTGAGGCCTTCTCTACTGTTGTAGCTGCCCCCTAGTTCTACTCTCCACCCTCACACCCCCTGGGATAGAGAGAGACTTGCCCTGTTTTCATGTCTATAAACCCAGCACTGTCATGGAAAACCCTCCAGGAAGAACTGTCCCCTCTTAGTGTCTGATCTATAGTGGTGACAACTGCTTTGTTCACTCAGTTCCAGTATAGCCCTCCACAACTGGAGATGTTTGTTGTAGACCAGGGGGCTACTCTCATTTTGTCATGTTAGATGTGACAATTATCCCTCTTTGCTCTCCATGAGAAACATTGCTTCTTCTATTTTCCCTTTCTTCCCCCTAGTCTGTCTCTTAAAACACCTAAAACCTTTGCGTCTCTACCCCAATCTGAAGCCCAAAAGTCTAGTATTCTTTTGCAACACCACATGGCCACATTACAAACTGGACAATGACTTATGCTGGCCAGAAAACAGAACTTTTGTTTCTCTGTTTTGTGGGACTTCTACAATTACTGTTGCAGGCAGAGCAAATGGTCAAAGATGCCCTATGGCCAGGCTTTCTTTACACTCCATAACATTCCCACTTTGAATGCCTCATTCGATTTCTCAATCTTTCTTCTCTCCCTCTCATCTGCATCCCCTTCACCAGAGGCAATCGCCTCACTGACAACAGATCCCACTGGCAGCTCCCCTGGCAGCTCCTTGCACCTCCTGCAGCGACTACAGGCAGCACTGCACCCTCTCTTCCCCTACAGGCTCTGGCCACAGTGATAACCGCTTTCCCCAACCTCCCTCGACTCCTGACACTTCCAGTCAGTCCCTGGTCAAACCCTCTGCTACTGCTCTCCCTGCTAAACAGGCTGGCTATCTGACACTGCCCCCTGAATCTGGCCTCCTTGTCCTGCTCGCCCTCCTCTATCTCATACTCAGTCTGGACAACAGTTTGGTTCCCTCATTCTGACTCCAAACCCTTGTCCCCTGCCCCTCAGTTACTGCTCCATGAGGTGGCAGGGGCAGAGGGAATAGTGAACAGGTTCATGTCCCTTTTTCCCTGACAGACCTCTCCCAAATTAGTCAGCATCTGGTCTCTTTCTCCTCCAATCCCACCCAACATATACAAGAGTCCCAACAGTTGGCCCAATCACATGATTTCCCCTGGGTAGATTTAAATGTTATCCTTAGCTCCATTCTCTCCCCCAGATGAATGGGAATATGTGATCTCCCTGGCCCAGTTTTACGGGGGAGGAATGCAGACACCCTCTAACTGATCTTCTGGTGGGCTGTTCCAGGTTATTTCCCCAGGATGATCCAAATCGGGAAACATCAGACAGGAGCCCAAGATACAGCAAACCAAGATCACATGGTCTTCTAACTAGTAGAGGGACCTCTCAAGGCAGCCCATAGGCAGTTAATTTTGACAAGTTAAAGGAAAGCACTCAAAATAGGGAAGAAAATCCTATTCTGTTTGATGGCTCACCTGGCTGCTGTTCTCAGGCAATTCACAGCATTACAGAAGAGACAGAGGGGAAACTTGTCCTAAAGATGCCTTTTATTATCTAGTCAGCACCAGATATTCATAAAAAACTACAAAACTGAGGCTGGCCCTCAAACTTCACAGCAGGACCTATAAGGTTTAATAACAGAGATGGAAGGGCTTCAAACAGTGTATTTCTGAGCTGTGGGTACATGCCTCTGCACTAAGACTCCCCACAAACCTACCTGTTCTGAGCTGACCACAAGGAACTGAGAGCATCCCTTGTGCTCCTCCAGGTGCCTTAAATGCCATTAGAATGGTCACTGGGGGGGCTGGAGGTTTAGCTCAGTGGCATAAGTGCCTGCCTTGCAAGCAGGCAGTCGTGAGTTTGATCCCCGGTACCAATAAAAAGGAAAAAGACAAAAACAAAAACAAAAACAAAGCATGGTCACTGGGTTGGAGAATGTCTGCAGCCTGGGGGTCCCCCTAAGCCATTTCCCTTCTGTGGGAGACCCCGCTGGAAGTTAGCTTGCCCAGTGGCGGCTGCTTCATCTGCCTCTGGGCTACTATCCTGTTCCTGTTCTTTCTGAGACCGTCTTGGTTTGGCAGCTGAAGACTGGCCTGCCCATAGACTTACAGGCCCTGGGCCATCTCAGGTGCTGGATTCCCCGTCACCCACACAATGCAGCGTAGTAATCCCATCCCATGTGGAGTCAGTGTGGCACGTGCCCTTCGTCCCTCCCTTGTTTCAGAGGACTGGTCTTTCTGGCCTCAACTGCTATCGTGGAGACTAAAGGCAAAGTGCCTAGACCTGTAAAACACTTTGCATTTTCCTATGGGCTTTCCTCGAATCCTGCGGGGACTCCAACTCAGCTGTCTTTCGCCTCAGGGATAGAACCATTTCTTATGCTCCTGCTCATTGTCGCCCTAGCTGGACCCTTCCCTCCCCATTTCCAATTCCTTTGGCCTGAGTGGCCCTTTTCGTCTTTTTGCCATGCCCCACAGCTACACCCCACAGCTTCTCCTGAGGACCCCTAAGTATCTCTGTGACTCTTCTGCTAACTCATGGCTTGCTAAACAGATGAATCCTTTCTTAGCCAAAAAACTCCTGGACCAATGTTTGGGGCTGGGCCACCAACTGGACCTCTTATTTGTGTTGGCCTCTTCATTCTTCTGGGCCATGCCTCCTCAGACCTATTGTTTTTACAGGATCGTAGTCAGGCAATCACAAATCGACAGACACTGGCCTTAACCACTCCTCAATATAATCCCCTCCCCCAAATTTCTCTCCCAGTTAGGCTGCCCACTCAGCTCCCTTGTCATGCACAAAGTAGCCACAAGGAACTCCACCCACTTTCCTGCCCCTTTCTGTATATAAGGACAAAAAGACAGGCATATCATGCCTTACCTGAGAGACTTTCTTAGCAAACATACCACCCTCCACAAACAACAGGAAATCACTAAAGCTGCCCTCAGCAAACAGAACAGATAGCCACAAAGAGAATTTAGTACAGACTGTACAGTCTCCCTAGTGCTAGGAAGTCCAGCATTATCTATATACCTGCACTGACCATCTTGGGAACTTGGACCACATACATTCTACCCAGATTCCTTGGAATTAAAACCCAGCTCCCAAACCCTATAAAAACTTAATTTCTCCTCTGGCCAGCTGCTGAAACCATTTACAATCTTGTTCTGTCCCCAGACAGAACAAACCCAGTCTTTTGTGCACATAAAGCCTGTGTCCAGGTGGTTTCTCATTTGCTGATGATAACAGGAATTGGTAAACATGAGTTTCCTATTTCATTATCTGTAACAGTCTAACTCAAAAATGTTTTTGGAGGGGGCTTTAAGAGGGGGCCTTGCTTATGTAGTTCAGGTTGTCCTTGAAGGCTCTTGGTGATATTCGTGTCTTAGCCTCCCAAATGCTGGGGTGACAACCATGCAATGTCATACCTAGGAAGATTATTTTACTTTTTTATCCAAAGATCACTCTAGGGGGCTGGAGATTTAGTTCAGCTGCACAAGTGCCTGCCTGGCGAGCATGAAGTCATGAGTTTGATCCCCAATACCAAAAAAAAAAAAAAAAAAGGTATATTCTGCCTCAAAGATCACTCTAGTGAGATAATTCAGGCCAGTTTGCTTCACTTTATCTCCACTGAAAAACGGAGCAGCTAAAATCTCTAAGGGAAAGTTCATCCTTGGACTAGGATAAGGTCTGGCAGTTTAGTGACCACATAAAGTAAATATTTACATTTCAAGAAACAGACAATGGGCTAATACTAAAGTTTAAAACAGTATTAATGAGAATTTTGACAGAAATACAAATTATTACTCAACTTTAGAATATGCTATAACTAAGGTTCCCTGTGTGCACTGCTTTAACTAATTAACATACAAAATGCCACTAAGAATTAACCTCCAAACTTACTTGGTTAAAATCTTTTTGTCTCAAGTAGGTAATTGCTTTGTTTATTTCCAGATCATTGGCTAGTTCCACGTACTGAGATGCTTTCACTACCTCCACACACCTACAAAAGAGGAGAGCATTAGAAAGTCGCCTGGTTTCATGTTTTAATGTACTTATGATGGTAGTTCTCTTGCAAGTGATGTTAGGGTGTTTTCCTTGTTCTGTTTTCATGTTGGGATCTGACCAGGGCTGTGCATGTGCCAGCCGGGCACTCCATTTGGCTACGCTAATCTAGAGAGTTTGTGAAGTGCCCAGTGCTCTATAAGGATGACCACCTGCTTCCCTCCAGTGCAGGAGTTAAGGCACAGAAGTCTTCAGATCTACAAGCTAATTCAATTCTTATTTCTCTGTTGTCAGTCCTAGTTATTTTTTAATATTTTAAAGTTGAGTTTATCTTTTTATTAGTGCATGTTTGTAGGACATAATGCCTGCATTACTTGTGTGGCGTTGGCACACATGCACAACAATTCTTAATTCCTTTTTCATCCCTTCTTTTTCCCCTCCCTTCCCATTTATCTCCTGATCACCCTCCCATTTGAGAACAACTTCTCTACTTCCTATTATCTAGCTTTGTTTTGCTCTTTATAGTTTAGGCCTTTCATATAAATCATGTAATGTTTAAATCTGTGTGCCTGATTTACTTGCGTAGCATCATGGTCTCAAGGTGCACCCACTATCCTACAAGGGACTTGTTTATCCTTTTCCTGGCATTGTGTGTAAATACAACATATTCTTTATTGTATATAAATACCATATATTCTTTATTGTGTATAAATACCACCTATTCTTTATTTTGTATAAATACCACATATTCTTTGTCTGTTGGCAACATATAGGGTACTTCCGAAATGTAGCTATTATGAATAGGGCTGCATAAACATGGGAGTGCATGGATCACTGAGACATCATGTTGCTGGTAACTGCTTATGCCATTGTAAGGAAAAAATTGGATTGATAGCTATATTCTTTTTTTTTTTTTTTTTTTTTTTAGTACCAGGGATTGAACTTATGACTTCGTGCTTGCCAGGCAGGTGCTGTGTTGCTGAGCTAATTCCTTAGCCTCACTACATTCTTTTTTAAATTAACTGTCAAAATGATTTTAGTTTCTAGGAGGTGAAGTTGTTTCTGTATTTTTTCACTCGTATCACTGTAATGGCAAGAAAAGTCTTATAGAACTTTAGAATACACTTTTCAAATAGAGGTTTTGAAACTAATTCCATGGGTTATGACCCTGATTTTAGAGCAGAATCAATGGGACAAAATATCTTACAACTTAAGATGCCTGACAAAAATATACAAAAGATATGACACTGAAGAAAATGTAGTTAAGATATCCTAAAGTTCTATCATCAATGAAATAATAAAAGTAATAATTTGTATTATACAGTAACATGTAATGAATGCACAACAACATATTATAGTCTAACATACATTAAAACAATGTATAGTAATGACTTTAAAAATAGTAAACAAATTTACAATGAAGGGGAAAATAAAATATTACTGGAATAATTAAAAATACTTAACAACAACAGGCAGTGAAAGAGAAAAAGAAACAAAAAAATGAGAAGCAAATAGAAAAAAGTAACACAGGACATAGGAAGCTAAATGGGTAACACCTTACAGTAACACTGGGATCTCCTCTAACAGCCTCCCACACCTTTCAGGTGACTGCATTACTGGGTTTATAGCTGCCTTGCTAGTAGGACCTGGGGTCTGCTCGGAAGAGGCAGGAACTGGGGATCAGACCTGGAAGGGTTAATCTCCATTGTCAGCTCCCCGCTGCACTCTCACTGCCCCCTAAATGCGATGACTTGCAGCTACTCCTCTGCCGTGCCCCTGTGCATGCCATCTTGCCAGCCAACCATGAGCGATTCAGATTATTAAAACATAAGCCAAAATAAACCACTCCCTTAAACTGCAAGTGTTGGGTATTTTGCCCTAGTGACCAGGAAAGTAACTAAGACAGACTGAGATTTTCAAAATACATTTTTTATTTTATTTATTTTGGAGAGCTCCTGCGGGTCTCGAACCATGGGACCAATTGGCCTGGGTGGTTGGGAAGCCAGACTCGAAGGAACCGCTGGGCTAAAACCAGCCCAAAGAGATTTTTTTTTTTTTTTTGGTCTTTTTCCTTTTTTAATGGTACCGGGGATCGAACTCACATCTGCCTGCTTGTAAGGCAGGCGCTTATGCCGCTGAGCTAAATCCCCAGCCCCTTCAGAATACATTTTAAAAGACCACGCAACTCTGTGCTTCTTATAAGAGACATACAAAGATGAGTAAAAAAAAGATGAGATACTTCAAATTCAAAAGAAAGCAGATAAAGTGAACTTTAAAACAAGAGATATTCCTAGAAGTAATAAGAGATACTTCACACTGATAAAGGGCTTAATCAGCTAGGGATATATCTCAATTTTAAATCTATACATGTGGACTTCCGGGAGAACATGACGGACAGATAACAGCAACTACCGGAGGCTCTCTGAAAAACTAGGCTCAGAAGCCAGGAATGGTGTGGACTACAGAGAATAAGCAGGTGGAGATATGCTCTGCTGACTCAGGAACGAACTGGGCTGAGAGAAACCAACTTGGAATGCAGTCCTGGTGCTAAAACAGGAACAGAAAAGCCTCGGTGTGGAGGCTGGACCCCGCACCATTGGAAGCCGCGATTTGGGTTTCCCGCCGCGGCTGCTGGCTGCCTCTACATCGGCTCGGCAAGGAGAGAGACGCGCGGAAGCTCTGAGAACGACAATCTGCGAACGGAGTCGAAAACAGGATGGGCAGGGAGGTGTGCACTGACTAGTGGTGAGGAGAGTGAGAGAAACTGACACTCCACCACAGTTTGACTCCAGCGGACTTTCCGGGCCCGAGCAGTCCTGCAGGAGCAGGGCGCGGTGGCGACTCCAGCCACACATCCCCCTCTGGGCAGGATTGGTGAAAAGTGCCTGGCCTGAGTGACACTGCCAGCGGACCCAGTAGGCTAGCCCAACCCAGATCCCAGAGCCTGACGGTGGCCAGGAGGGGCGGGCCCCGCGTAGGCTGCCTGGTGCGCAGCGGTGAGCGGGAACACCTAACCGGCGCAACTCGATCAGGCTGTGGCTGACAGGGAGAGAAGCTGGGCCCCTCATATAAGCTTGCATATATAAGAAACAGAGAATATGGGGAAGGGAAGCAACAAGAAAGGCTCCTCGGCCCCCAATTCTGAGAAACAGGCAATAGCGGACACCGCACCAATAGACATTAAGCGCCATATAGAGAGTCTCATAGACCAATTCAGGAATGAAGTTATCAACGACCTGAAGCTAGAAGTATGCAGAATAGTTAGAGAAATGCTAAGCACCACCCAGGAAAAAACAGATGGTGGAATGGAAGAACAGAAAAAGAGGGGAGAATTGTTTGATGGAGAAAACAGAGAAAGCATAGAATATGTGAAGCAGGTTCAAAGGGACTATCAAGAAACTAAGAAGTCTATCCAAGACTGGCATAACAGCTTGAAAGAAACTAAGGACAGAATATCTGATCTGGAGGGCAGACTTGTAATATGGGAGAATGAAATGAAAAACTTCTTAAAAATAACAAAGAAACAAACAGCAATAATACAAAGACAAGAAGATGATAAGAGGAGCCATAACTTAAGGATTAAGAACATAAAAGAAGAAGTAGGGACACAAACAAGTGAACTACAAAAGCTACTCACAGAAATAATCCAGGAGAATTTTCCTAATTTAGCAAAAGGTAAAGATACTCAGATGTATGAGGCATATAGGACCCCAGCTACCTACAACCCAAACAGAGAAACACCCAGGCATATAATAATAAAAATTCCAGAAATTCAATACAAGAACAGAATATTAAAAGCTGCCAGAGACAAGAAACAGACCACTTACAAGGGAACACCCATCAGAATTACAGCAGATCTCTCTGCACAAACCATCAAATCACGAAGAGCGTGGGGGGAAATAATTCAACCTTTGAAAGATAATAATCTCCAGCCAAGATTGAGATATCCTGCACAACTGTCCCTGGAAATTGATGGAAAAACAAGGTGCTTCCAGGATAAAGAGGAACTGGGGGAACTTGCAACCACCAATTCAACTCTACAGAAAGTATTGCAGGATATTCTAAAAAAAAAGAAAAATACAAAGAACCCAGAAATAGTGGCGGGGAGGCCACAACGAATGGAGCAGAGAACAAAATGAAGAAGACAAACTGACAGCTACTGACAGAAAAAGAGCTCAACAGAAATGAGACAGAGAAGATTGGATGATAGGAACAGCTATTTTAGAGAAAATGACATCTTAATAGGTAATACTGATTTAGTATCATCTTGTTTTGAAGTCTCATCTAGCTTTTGTTCTTCTGTCTCCAATGGTCCAAATAGGTTGTATCTTATTGGATGTTATTATGTACAATAGTATAAGCAAAAACCTTTTAAAGACAAGGAGATTATACAGAAACCATTGTTCATTTTCTGTTAGTCGATTCTAAATACTCTGTAATGCTGTCATTCTCTTAAATGGTTTTACATTGTTTTGATATACTTAATGCTACAGTATACGAAGTTGTACTCAAGGACTTCAAGGAAAGAGTCAATATGGTAACTACTTTTAGGTCAGAATTATCTGGTGGTGAAACACTATTCTGCTTAAATGGTTATGTTTTGATCTGCACTGTTTCACTGTTATGCCCTCTTTTATCTCAATCTCCACTCCATTATTTACTTTTTTATTTTTTTTATCCGTTTAATTAAAGGGAAAAAAATAGCAAGATATATTATAGTAACCCACTTTGACTTTCTATTATCTCGATTTGAAGCCCTGTATTACTCTCACCATCTTGTTTTTGACTGATTTTCCCCTATTCTGTTTTGCTGGATAGTATCAGGTTCGAAAGTTTAGGCATCAGCTGTGAAGATAATGAGATTCATTATAATGCCCATTCTCGTTGACTTTTATCTACTTTTGAAGACCTACAATGTCTCCAATGTTTTGGTTTTATCGGTTTTGTTCTTTACTGTTTTGTTCAATTGTGTTATAACTAATGATACAGGCAATTCTA